ATGTGCTTTAGAAAGCGGCCCCTTTGCTTTGGAAATTATCCAAAGAATGAAATCATCAAAATGCCATATAATATACAATTGAATATTTACTTTTTGTCTGTCATTTATACCAACTAACAATAAAGAAGCGAGAATCAAATTAGGCTGCATCCAATAGAAAAGGACACATTCCATCAAGGAAGTATAATATTCAAAATTGAAACCGAGCTCTTTGATTTCCTGTATTAGATACGTTGAATTCTTGTTGTATGCTGGGAACCGATTAAAATAGTTTCCACATGTGCGTTATCTATATCTAAAAGTCTTAAAAAACTTTTTCTGGTTTGGGACACACACGCAGATATGTACACACAAGCGATTTATTTAATTTTATTAACGTGTGTGAGAATGTTCGAAGCGGGTCGTTGGAGGCCCCATCGTACACAGCCTGTTGCTTGCTTTGTGTGATGTTGCAGTCCAGAATTACATCGTGTAGCGCCAGTCGCTGAACTAACCGAAAGTACTCATTATCGATACAGCGTTTATGGTCGTCCGAAGAACTACCACGCCTTCGAGGCACTAAAAAGAAATTATGACACTCGTGGTGGACAAATTATACCAGGATACTTGCGGTACATCCACCGTCGTCACATTTCGAAGTGACCATTGTTTAGCTTTGTCGTCAATAAAATTTGACAACAATTTTTTTTACTACGCGTAATAGATAATAAAAAGACCTAGTGTGAAGAGAGCGTAATAAATAAACGACAAGACAGTAAAAAGGCATTAAACTTTCGTATACCACATACCCATATTATATGTGTTATTCCTGGTAAAGCATTTAAAAAGGAAGTCAGCGCCAAATGCATCCTCGGTTGTGATTTAAATTTATAACTTATGCAAAGTCGATGTTATCAATAAGGATTAACAGTAAACTGATAAACAAAGGAAAGTTTTACTAACGCTGAAAAAGTATTTTCGACCAGCATTATTTGATAAGAGTTAAATAATCGGGTTTGATGGATGACTTCCACCTTCAATGAGTCCTCGGTTAAGCTGCTTATTCGACGTTTCGCTTATTGAAGAGTGAAAGCAGCTGCAATCGCAAACTCATCGATGGAAGAGGACCGAACCTGCAGCATGCATGTCTTGCCTAAATACCAAATACTCTTCTACTAGGTATCTTTACTTATCATTATACAAGACCAAGATAAATAATTAGTGAAGAAACGGAATACCTCACAAGAGATTAAATTAATTTTTTTGCTTTTGACCAAAATGTAGCTTTAAATAAAATGGAAGCGGTACTGACAGATCAGTACTGTATGAAAATAAATAAAAGTAAAACTAAAATACTGGTATGCAAGGGAAGAAAAAATAGGTAAAGAGCGAATATAAAGATAGGAGACGAAAAATTACAAGAAGTGGCTGATTTTAGATACCTAGGATCACAGATAAGTGAGGATGGAAGGAGTGTAGGGATATAAAGCAGAAGATAGCGCAGGCTCGTGTCGCCTTTAATGAAAAGAAGTCACTTCTATGCTCGCGAACGGTTAATTTAGAAATTCGAAAACGGTTGTTAAAGGTGTAATTTTGAAGCACGGCGTTGTACGGGTGCGAAACATGGACAGTGGGAGCGGCGGAAAATAAAAGGTTAGAAGCGTTCGAAATGTGGTGTTATAGGCGGATGATGAGGATATCGTGGGTAGAAAAGGTTAGAAATGAAGAGGTATTGGAAAGAATAGGAGAACAGAGGACTCTATGGAAGTCAATAAAAAATAGGCGAGATAGGTTGGTAGGACACCTTCTCAGGCATGAAGGTCTAGTCAGAGACATATTAGAGGCAGAAACAGGAGTTAGGAGGGGTAGAGGTAGACCTAGATTAGATTACTGTTCGCAAATAGTTAAGGATGTGGGTTGTTCTAGTTTTAGGGAAATGCGAAGTTTAGCTCAGGATAGGAAAGAGTGGAGGTACGTGTCCAACCAGTCTTAGGACTGATGACCTTATGATGATGATGATGATGACCAAAATGTAATAGTGACAATGTCTTGTTGTTAGCAAATGAATTAAAATGCATTGTATATTAGACATCGCTACTTGTTATTAAACATTCTCATGGTAATAACCACTTTATATTTAAGTAATGCAGAGTGATAGAATACGTGCTCCAGAATCTTGAGGAGACAAACGGTTGTATGCATAGAGGTCGTGTATTATTATGGGAAGAAGACTGATAAAATACTTGATGCATCGTCTGCTACGCTCGGGACGCGGATATCTACTTGGTTAGTTGTATAATAATAGTCAACCGAATCACTCTGAAAGCACTATCGTACGTAAACGTGACTATTGAATGTATATAAAGCACACCAATAATACGGGATGTTCGACCATGTTAAAGCACACTGGTCGATAATCGCTGTAATATATTGGTTTTCAATGCTAAGTCGGATTTCTAGGTGTATCTATCTATAGTAATATATGTGTATACGAACTATAAACTAGGATGAGAGAGAATTACAATGAGTTGTGTCTATTCAAATTTTTCCTTACATTACCCATATACCTATCGAAATTTTGAATAATAAGGCTTCTTATCTTTTCAATAACAAACTAAGGAAAAATTCAAATCTTTAAAAATAATACTGGTCATTCGAATATTTATAAAAAGTTTCGTTTTCCAAAAACCCAGAAACCTAATAGAATACGTTACGTTTCGTTATTTTCTTCACCATGGGCGAAACTAACTGGGAGCTCTTAAATGTCCAACAAAATCCTGTTTGATTAATGGAATTGACTTTTTAAACTGAGTCAACCATAAAAAAGCACATGCGGCTAACAGAACAATAAGTTCCTGATCAAAAACCTTGTGGTATCTTAATGAACCTTGAATTAGTGAATTAGCCACAGATTGGGTTTACTCACACTGTCTTGTCTTCATTTGTCAATTTCGTTCTCAAACAATAACAGAGACATGCCAGGGAGTATACTCATTAATTCGATTGAAGGTCGAAAATTTTAGATGCTTAAAAAGAGTCTCGTGTTATAGGTCAAAAAGGATCCCTATCTATGTATTTTGTGCCCAAAAAACAGTATACGTTCAAGAATTCAATTCATCACCTTTTAGAGAACTAGTTAGTTACTGGCAGGAATCACAGAAATTCGGTAAGTAGTTGCTACAGATTTTGAAGACGCAATTGGATTTCTTCTTGGGTAGTCATGGTATGTAAGAAAACACCTCGCGTTCTATTTTAGATTGCATTGTTAAATCTAGAAGAAGTTGGAGGCATACTGCACAATTGTACTTTTTTTAGTACTTTTAGTAAAATACAATTAATATTACAAAGTTGAGGTTCCTTTCAACCTTTTCTTCGAACGTTTCTGTTTGATTTGATTAATAGTTAATAGGGGTTTTGGGATTCTCATGGATACCACCAGTTACAGTTCTTCGGAATTATTAGAGGATTTTTTTAGTTTAGAGCTTTCCCCTCCCTTTCTGGAAAGTCATGGGCCCCTTCAACACCTCGTTAAGATGCATCCAACTCTATTATTCTACGAGGGTGGATTGATAAGTTTCCGGCCTGACCAAGAAAAACAAGGTTTTTAAAAATTTTTTTTTTTTATTTCTCAACATAATCTCCTCCAAGGCTGATACATTTCTCATAGCGGTGTTCCAGTCTATTAATGCCATCTCTATAGACTGATTCGTCAAGCTCCTCAAAATAACCATTTACAGCTTCGATTACTTCTTCATTGTCCGCAAATCTCTTACCGCCAAGCCATTTTTTGAGATTAGGGAACAGAAAATAGTCACTCGGGGCTAGGTCTGGAGAGTAAGGAGGGTGCGGCATCAATTCAAACTTTAGATCGTTGATTTTAGCCGTCGCAACGATTGACGTGTGCGCTGGTGCGTTATCGTGATGAAACAAGATTTTTTTCTTCGCCAGATGAGGTCGTTTAATTTTCACCTCGTGGCTCAAACGTTGCAATAAGTCTGCGTAGTATTGACCAGTGATAGTATTACCCTTTGCAAGGTAATCAATGTATATAATACCTCTTGCATCCCAAAAAACAGTAGCCATAACCTTGTTCGCCGAAAAAATTGTTTTTGCCTTCTTTGGAGTTGGTTCCCCTGGTCCAATCCACTGTTTAGACTGTTCTTTGGTTTCAGGAGTGTAGTGGTGGACCCACGTTTCGTCAACGGTTACGAATCGACGCAAAAATTCGCTTGGATTACGCTTATACAATGACAAATTTGCGGTAGAAATGTTTTTTCGAATCAATTTTTGGTCGACTGTTAGCAAACGCGGCACCCATCTTGCACAGAGCTTTTCCATATGCAAATGTTGGTGCAAAATATGTTGCACACGTTCATATGACATCTTACAGGTCTCAGCTATCTCACGCACTTTCAATCTGCGGTCTCCCAGCACTATTTGATGAATTTTTTCGATCATATCTGGAGTTGTGACCTCAACGGGGCGTCCTGAGCGAGGCCCATCAGAGGTGCTCACACGACCCTTTTTAAACTCGGAAACCCACTGCTTAACGGTTGAATATGACGGGGAGGATGTCCCCAGTGTTGAGTCCATCTCTTTTTTAATTTCCTTCGGCGTTAACCCCTTCAAATAAAAGTATTTGATGACAGCACGATTTTCCTGCTTTTCCATTTTTACGAAAACCACAGAGGCGTCTTGTTCAGCGTGCTGTCAAACCTACACTAGCAAGGAGATCGGGCTGAAACTATAGCTACAAGCTATCCAAGGATGGTACTATAGAATGTCACCTCAAGGTAGGCCTAGTGGCGTCATCTCTTGGTTAGGCCGGAAACTTATCAATCCACCCTCGTATATTAATGCCCAGGGACACATGTGTACTTTAAAAGTAACTCAGTTCATATAGATAAAGTTTCGGAAAAGCCCGAGAGGAATATAAAACCGTAACTTCTTTAAATAGTAGGACACTTTTAATACTGCAGGATTTATCTATCGGAACCATCGATCAGTTATACTAATCTTACCTGCTTTAAGTCGATTGTTATAGTGACGAATTCGTATTCGGGTCCGTTTTCCAACGTTGGACTCTGCCACCACCTATTGCTTCCGTCAATCGCGTAATGAATTGCATGTCGCTTTCCGGGTTCGGAATTGAAGTTGTCGCAAACCCCACAACGACCCTTTGAACCGTCGGAAAGTTTGCAGAACTCTTCGCGGCCGCGTTCTCCACATGTTGCGTTCGTGTTTATGAGAGCTTTGGTGGCTAAATTAAACACGGAAGGCCACAAACCGACATTAGACGACGATGTCGACTGAGTACCAATTCCGTACGATAGGAACTTCAATGCTGAAACAAACAAATTTCATTTTATAAGCAATCCTGCATTTCAGAAAAGCTAACGAGTTTCAGTATCTACTTAAAAAAATTTAATTAGATAACATAATATTTCTACCTACAGTAGAATCCGCTTATAACGACATCGAAGGGAAATGACAAACACGTCATACAAAGCATAGTTTTAGAAAATAAACAACTTTCTATTTTGGTTAGCTATTTAGTTTAATAGACAGAAAAACTACAAATTGTATTTATTTATTAACAGAAAAAGAAAAAGAACGATGAATTGTCGTATCAATATGCATAAGAAGGGTCAGAAAAATGAGCGAAAATGTTACTATTAATCATGTGGGTCACTATAAACGGACGTGATTTCTTGAGAATCAGTTATAATAAACGACATGTCATTTTAAACGGAGTCATTATATAAAAACTTTCCTATAGAGAATTTAATATGAAAACCAAACTTAACACTGTAATTACTTCATATTAAGCAGTTGGTCAATATAGGCGGAGTCTTAATAAACGAATTCCACTGTATTTACAAAAATTCTATATATTGACTTGCCTAAGTATTTTTGTTATGACAGAATTAAATTTCGCATACTACAAATCAGTTAAAGAGCATTTATTGAGCAGTACGCTTCGTGTTTTGTGATATATTCGGCCTCATTTAGTGAAACTTTATTATTCAAATGATACCTACCCCTATGTAGTTACACTGAATGTTTAATAACAGCTTTCGGAATTATTACAAAATAAATTGACACTAATTGGACAGTTAAAGGATTAATGTAGTTTAAATCGCGCGTCAGTTATGACACTAGCAACTTTCAACAAAAATTGGTGGAATTTAATATTGTTCGGGAAAATTATCACGGAATATTCGTTGACGTTTCAAACTTGAATACGAAAATATCGAGATAGACATTCCTTCGGAATCTTTAGATTTCCTCGACGGTGAGAATCCTGCTTTCTAATACCAAAAGAATTTCAATAAGGATTCTCTAATTCACAATAGACAGTTGACAGTATAAGAGGAACGAATACTATGTTTAAACCCGACTAGAACTTATAGAGACCATATCTCATGGACCATGTGTGCCTTATACGGTAAATGAGAGACATGACGATATCTGGCTTCCTTTGTAGATTCCTTTTCGCACACACAAATCAAATTTGAAAATTATATTATCGGTACAATACTATCGATCAACTTATATTTCTTTCCTTTCATTTTGGGTTTCGATTGAAATTAAAAAGCATCTGAAGTATGTAAAATAGGACGTAGAATCATGTGGTACAAACAGATTTCAGATTCAGCGTTCGCTTCGATAAAACTTCAAACAAATTCAGTTTGAAATTAAAAAAATCAATCGAAATCACAATTGAATTCTAAGCAAATCGATTGTCTACTTTTTCCTTAAAAGTTTGTACATTTATTATCCATTTCACGTAAAAGTACTTCATTCGACTTCATTTACTTAGCGACAAAAATGTTCTGAAGTTTATTGATCACTTTTAACACCCTGTATGAAAACCGTATCGTAATATGTATATCAATCGACCTATTATTTTCTCTTATGGGTTGAAATACCTGTGCGCCTGTTTTTCTTTTAGCATTTATCGTTCCCTTGAGGGTACTAAAGTTTGTTATTTTATACAAAAAACTGCACGCGTGGTGAATTGACGAAAAAATTATAGGTCGGTGTTCAGGAAAATAAAGATTCGCAGGCAGATTAGCATAAATTGTTTGAAGGGAAGACCTGTATGACACGCTAAACGCCACAAGCAACAAATCAAATATACAGAGTGTACGAATTAAGTCAATTAAAGAAATTATTTTGAAAAATTGAGCCAAAGTACCTATATTCAAACTATAATTGACACCTTTAAGAGATATTCAATCTACCTCAAAATAATACCTATAATTTCTAATAAACAATATTTAAATTAATTAAATAATTTGAATAGCGTAGATCGTCATAAACATACACTTATAAGGAAAATTAGTAAATACCTTCCCTTGTTGAAGTGTACCTATTTAAAAGTGTTTTAAAATTACAAGAACAATTACTTTAACTTAGTATGATTAGAACTCTTGACAGTATTTTCATCCATTAAGTAAGCTGTTTTTGAAATGGTGAACTTAAAATAACAAAATTGCAATCAGAATAGTTTCTTTAGTAGGAACAATTATCATTGTTTTTAAATAAATTTGTGACAAATCCACCATTAGATACAATTAATGTAATAGTGACTTAAAGATGAGATGAGATCCAAAAAGATCGAAATCGCGTTCCGCGTCTGGCAGTTTCGACAGAATACAGACCACTTCGAATTATTTTGTTAGATTATGGTAACGTGCCTATCACGTTGAGGTTGGCTACGCCGGGATTCGTTTCAGCAAGTAGATATCCATATTTTTAAGTGGACCTTGTTGGAGTATACGTAATCCTAAAATGTAGCATCGTACTACAGATGGCGCTCACCACGCCATTTGTGGTATTTTCTAAAACGCGCTGTTAACACAGCAGGTAAAGGTTGGTCTGTGTTCTG